TTAGTACAACTACTAGTTTTATTATAACTTAGAAATATACTAACACACACAATTTTATTAATTTTTCTCCTGTATCACAACTACAACCACAGTGTCACAACCTTGTTGCTCGTCTGCAGAGTGGAAGCCTGGTGACATGTAGTACAGATTTTCTCAAACTTATCTTAGGCATCAGTATCTTATAAAACAGTATGACCCAATTAGTTTTAACCTATAAGTTAGCATGTTAGTGACGGGAAAATAATGCAATATTTAATTTTATTTCATTTCATTTCAATTACTATATACACACGCTCTTAGATTCCCATGGGGGAGGTAGAGACTATCGATTGCCACTTAGCACGATCTTGACAAAACTTTCTTGCCTCTCTTACATTCAACAATATTTACATACAATAGGGGTAGCACGAACAAGGACGACTTGCGCGACAGCGACATAAGACCTGAGATCTCTCTGCGAGAATAGCAGTACCTCGCGCTTTGTGTCGCTCTCGCGCTTGTCGCGCCTATCGTGCTAGTCCTACAGGGAGAGCACGATGTGGTGACTGAATGCTTCTGCATGCCTAAGGACGCTAGGCATAATTGCCATTAGTACGCACTTGCATGCAGGGATGCCCAAGGATCACCTGCCGTGCCGTCGTTTAGTGCACTTCGTACAAATCAAGTTGATCCTACTGTGGATGTTAAGTAATGAAAGTTAGTGATATTTCGAAATAATCTTGAAACTAATCTTCAATTTCATGTGTGTGGTTTGTCAGAATCCCTTATTCGTGCTAGCCCTACAGGCCCTCTTATCCTTCTCACTACTGACCTCAGCCCTTTTAAGAACGCAGTTGATTTGAGAAGGTTCTTCGTGGTGGTGTGTACCAAACCATCTCAGCATATTTTATTATATTTTGAGTGTAGATTATCCTCAACCTCAAACTTTATTCGTTGAAAGTTTATTTCAAGATTTTCACACATTATTTATTCGATTTTAAAATGGGGACTTAATCGTTTATAAAATATATTTTATTTACTTCGACGTTCAAGTCCCTTCGAGATTGTAACATATTATGCGAGGGTAGTCCCGCACTGTGTGATTGAAATAAATCAGTGTTCAACCAACTTGCGTGTGTTTCACTTCATGGTGACAGCGGTGAGACTTCTTTTAGGGGTAATAAGTGTCCGAACCCATAATTATTTACTTTATTTACGTTGTACACGTGCATTAGTGAGAGTGAGTGTGTATTTATCGTAAAAATCATGGAACACGCGCGTCCTCCGGCGGAATTGGTATTGGAAGGCGGCCCGGCCGCGCGATCCGACGCGTGGCGCAAATGGCGGAGGCTGTTTGAGGTGTTTCTAAAGGCCTCCGGAGTGAGCAAAGAGCCTAAAGAGGTACAGGCTAGTTTGTTGGTGAACCTCATCGGATCGGCGGGATACGAAGTATTTACGACTTTTACTTTTGATAAGTGCGAAAGTGAAGATGATGTCACATGTGTTATGAAGAAGTTCGATGCATATTTCGGTGCAAAACCTAACATCACTGTCCGCCGTTATAAATTCTTTACGCGCGGGCAAGAAGATGCAGAAAACATAGACCAGTATGTGACGGCGTTGCGATTATTGAGCCAGCAGTGTGAATTCGGGGAATTGAACGAGAGTTTGTTGCGTGATAAAATCGTCTGCGGCATCAATAACAACACAGTGAGAGATAGATTACTTCGCACGGATGATCTAACGCTAATCAAGGCGATACAAATCTGTCAGGCGGCAGAGATATCAAAAGAGGAAGGCCAGTGTATCAGCAGCGCATCAGCTGAGAACATGCAGGTGAACGCGATGCGCAGAAGTGGCGGAGTGCGAGGCGCGCGCCGAGAGCGCAGCAGGCGCGGCGGTGGCGGCTGGCGTGGCGCGGCTCGGGCTGCGGGCGGCGGCGCCGGCGCCCCCTGCCTCACCTGCGGGAGCGTTCGCTGCGCCGGCGGCGACCGGTGCCCGGCGCGGAACGCGATGTGCTATGTGTGCGATAGTAAAGGTCATTTTTCGCGCGTGTGTGAGCGAAAGAAAGAAATTAGTAAAGTGCTAAATTTAAACGTTGATAGTGCGGCCATTGACTACGACGAAGACTCGGAAGAGCTGTTTTACATCAACGGCATCAATAAGGACAATGTAAACAGTAAGTCACATAATGAATGGCATGAGACAGTTTCTTGTAATGGTAAAAACATTATGCTAAAAATAGATACGGGAGCAATGCTTAATGTTATTTCTAAAAAAGATTATATCAACTTGGGCTTGTCTGTTATGAAACTTAAGCCGTATGCAAAGCGAGTACTTTCTTTCACAGGGAACCGGTTGCCGATATTGGGCTCTGATAAGATTTTATTCACGTATAATTGTAAACAATATGAGCTACCTTTTGTTGTCGCGAACTTTAAATGTCAGAATGTACTCGGTTTCAAAGGCTGTGTCGCATTAGGATTAGTCACTTATGTCGATACAATAAATGTTGGTCAGTATGATGATTTGTTTAAAGGGTTAGGCAAATTACCCGGTGAATATAGTATATCTGTAGATAAGACAGTGCAGCCAGTCGTGTGCCCGACTAGGAAAATTTCTTTCGGTCTTAAAGATAAGCTATTACAAGAATTACGTAGGATGGAAACGCTAGGTGTAGTGAGGAAGGTCACGCATCCGACTGACTGGGTAAACGCTATCGTATTGGTTCCAAAGAAAGATGGCAGCATTCGTGTCTGCTTAGATCCTCGGCCACTGAACCGCGCGGTGCGGCGCGCGCAGTACTCGCTGCCGACGGTGCCGGAGCTGGCGGTGCGGCTGCGCGGCGCCGCCGTGTTCAGCGTGCTCGACGCGCGCTGTGGCTTCTGGATGGTGAAAATTGACGATGCGAGCGCAGACCTCTGTACCTTCAGTACGCCGTTCGGGCGGTATCAGTTTCTGCGGTTGCCTTATGGGATAAATTGTGCGCCAGAAGTGTTTCATGCCAGACTCAGACAGCATCTCGAAGATCTCGAGGGCGTCGAGTCCTTTATCGATGACGTCATTGTGTGGGGACGTACTAAGGACGAGCATGATAAAAGGTTAGGTTGTTTACTGGAGCGGGCGCGACAAATAGGCATTAAATTCAATCGTGAGAAATGTAAATTTGCAGTGCCGGAAATCACATATTTAGGACATAAGTTTGATGCGACAGGTATGCGAGCCGACGACTCGAAGGTAAAGGCCATCATGGAGATAAGACCATACCCGAGCGACCGAAAATCGCTCGAGAGGTTTTTGGGTATGGTCAATTATCTGTCGAAGTTCATTCAAAATTATTCAGAACGTGTGAGGTGTCTACGTTCGCTGCTAAAGAAGGAGTCAGAGTGGGTGTGGGAACCACACCACTCCGCAGCGGTGGACGAGCTGAAGCGCGCGCTGGCGAGCGCGCCTGTGCTGGCGCTGTACTGCGAGCGCACGCCGCTCGTGCTGTCAGTGGACGCGTCCAGCGTGGCGCTGGGCGCCGTGCTGCTGCAGGCCGGCCGACCGCTCGAGTTCGCCTCGCTAACACTCAGCGACACGCAGACCAGGTATGCCCAGATCGAGAAGGAGATGCTGGCCATTGTGTTCGCCGTTGAGCGGTTCAGGCAGTACATCCTGGGCCGGAGTGATGTAACCGTTCAATCGGACCATAAACCTCTGGAGGCTCTCTTTAAGAAATCCTTAGTTTCCGTGCCGGCGCGACTACAGAGAATGATGATGAGAGTCCAAGGATTCGACATTAAGGTCGTATATACTCCCGGAAAGTATATGTATATTGCGGACACTTTGTCGCGGGCCCCTGTGAAGGAGTCGATGCACGACTGGGTAACGAACGAAGTGGAAGCACAAACGTGTTTTATGTTAGAGAACTTACCGTTTAGCAATCGAAAAATGGAGGCAGTAAGAAAGGAGACTGAGACCGACGCAGATTGCAAGTCGCTAATCGAGTACATTACAAAAGGCTGGCCTAAGAATAGACGTGACGTAAAGCCCGAAGTCAACGTATTTTGGCCTTATCGTGATGAATTGCATTATGTGGATGGTATTTTATTGAAGGGTGAGTGTGTATTTATCCCTCGCGCGTTGAGGGACAGCATGGTGTCGCGCGTTCACGAGGGCCACCTGGGCATCGAGCGGTGCAAGCGGCGCGCGCGTGACGTCATGTTCTGGCCGGGGCTGGGCGCGGCCGTGGAGCGCGCGGTGCGCGGGTGCGCGGCGTGCGCGCTGCACGCGCCGCGCGCGCGCCGCCAGCCGCTGCTGCAGCACGAAGTGCCGCCGCTGCCCTGGCATAAGCTCGCCTCCGACATATTCGAATACAGAAAGAAAAAGTACATCATCTTGGTCGACTATTTTTCTAATTACGTGGAGGTAGGGGAGCTGTCCAGTATGACTTCCAGGCGAGTGATCGATTTCATGCGGGAACAATTCGCGAGACACGGTATACCGGTGGAGCTAGTGACCGACAATGGCCCCGCTTATAGCTCACAGGAATTTAAGAAATTTTTGCTCGAATGGGAAGTAACTCACGTCACATCATCCCCGCATTACCCGCAATCAAACGGAAAGAGCGAGAGAGCAGTCCAAACAGTAAAAAATTTATTAAAAAAATGTGTGGATTCTGGACAGGAATTTTTAATGGCATTGTTAAATTTCAGGGCTACGCCACGTAACGGGTTAGATTCACCCGCTCAAATATTAATGGGTAGGCGATTAAATACAAAACTCCCGATCAATCCGAAATTGCTCACTGAAAGTGTTGATAATGAACGCAATTATCGAGGATTGATGTTAGATAAGGAGAAAATTAAACGTCATTACGATGCGTCAGCGAAACCGCTCAGGTGTTTGTTTCCGGGTGACAAAGCAACATTGGTATGTAACGGCTCCAGAAAACCTGTTTCGGTGGTTGCTCCTGCGCCAGAACCGCGCTCATATATAGTGGAGGACGATACCGGCGTCCGATATAGACGTACTCGCGGTCACTTGGTGGCGCGGACAGCGTCTGCATGGCCTGCTGAGCGACCCCAGGCACTTACTACAGCGTGTTCAAGTAAGCTTGGTACGGTTTGGCCGACAGGAGTGCGTAGACGCAGACCGAGAGCGGTGTCTGAGGAGCAGCGGGTGTCCGACTCGCAATCTGAGAGCGCGAGCTCATCGCCGCGGGGTGGGTATGCGATACTCCGGCCAGGGGCCACAGAGTACGAGGAAGGGTGCTCGTTTGAAAGTCTGTCGGAAGCGTCTCCCTCATCGTCACCAGTAGTTTCAATTACCAGGTCTAGAGAACGAACTGCACGTATGTTAAGTGATTTATTAGTTAGGTCAAGTAAAGAGTAGTTAAACCCGAAATGTGAGGTTAAGAAAATGATCAAATTGTGTAATTTACTTTTTTTTTTATCTTTCAATAATAATAGGTGTAAAATAGTTTATTTACTCCGTGAGTTATTGATAGGTGTGATAAAGTATAATAATGTGTTACATTACTATGGCAAAACAATATAAGCATAAATAACTCATATTTATGAATTGGTAAGTTAACTAAAATTTCAGTATATAAGTTTATTTATTATTTTTGTTATATAAAGTGTCTTAAATTGTTCATGATGAAAAGATAACTGTATCTAACCATTAAAGGTATTTATCTTAGTTAATATTAAATTTATAACTTTTCAAAAGGGAAACATGTAACATATTATGCGAGGGTAGTCCCGCACTGTGTGATTGAAATAAATCAGTGTTCAACCAACTTGCGTGTGTTTCACTTCAGAGATCATGGAGGTTGCAACACGTCCGAAACACCGAGGAAAATAAAATACATTTTATATACGATAGAGTCGCGATTCTAAAATTAAATACTCAAACTTATCTTCATTTCACAGGTAAGCGAATTACACTTGAAATCTTCACATTGATTAAACTCTATTATTCATTCGTAAGGAAGACTGCTTTGACAAGAATGAGAACTCTAGGAGTTGCTCTTTGTAAATAAATCAGGATAACCTGAAAAGCTAAACAATTCATTACAATGGATTATTGTCATCCAAAAGCCGTATCTACCTTCAGTATAAAGCTTTTGTTCCATAGTTTTTAAGTCATGGCAAATTTTTAATATCAACTGGAATCTTATTATGGAAGCGTGTACATAGTCACATAGTTGAATTTGTAACTTTATGAACACGACTGTCAAGAACAGCAAGTTTATTATTATTCCTCATATTTATATTATGTCTATTACTATTTTTCATAAAAGAATCACCGTTTTTATCCAATACTGTAAGATAATCGGAAAGTTATTTATTATAGAGTCTTTATATTAGAAACAAGTCGTGACAATGAATTGCCAGTTTTCAATTGTATATATTTACACACTAGTAGCAATAGAACTCATTGTGAAAGACGTACCCTGGGGCATCGTGCCCAGAAGGCTAGCAACATTTCCCCTTTGAATTGCTAAACTTATTCTTTGGCGGAAATAGTTGCCAGCCTTGTGGTCACCGGAGGTTTCTACGAGGCGATCCGACAGCTCGTTCACTAGAAGTAACACCTGTGGTCCCCACGGACCCAGGGTTCCCCCGCAAAAGGCACAAAGCTGTAGCACTGGGCAAGGTTAGCATATTTGATCCTTTTGCAGTTCTCGGCCGTTCTGCCCACAGGACCTGAGTCGCCCACGCTTGCAAGGACATGGGAGGGGACTACAGTGTCTACATAGGTTACTAGCTGTCTCCCTAGTTTCCATGGACGGACAGTCATACCGTCAGGCCTCTTACCGTCACTGCGACAGATACCAGTAAGCTCGAGAACTGCCGGTATCTTAGAGCTGGTGAAGGCCCGAAACATAATGCTATTGAGCGCTGCGTGTCGAGATATGCGGCTAGCGCTGTGAGTACAATGGGACTTGTCAATACTTGTGACAGGGGCAGTGGCAGTGCCTCTTAGATTTTGCGATTAAAAACTTTGAACGGCACTTTAACTGTTATGGACAGGCATGTCACTTACCACCAGGCGCATGACATGTACGTGCCGTCACGTGGTATTATAAAAAAGCATAATGTTATCAAAATATAGCAGTATCTAACAAAAGTTACATGTAATATTTGAAGCCACGAGAGCAACGCTCGGTAAGAGCCCAATTTCACAGTTTCTACTTATAGTTGCTAAGAGGATCAGATTTCTTTCGTTACAAACTATATAAGCTGTACTTTCAAAAGATTTCGCCATTGCAGTGGTGAACAATTTTATGAAGCCTAAAATACTGTGAAAAAAGAATTTACTTAATAGGGACATTATGCAAAGCTAATGGCGGCTATATTGCAGAAAACCTTAATAGAAATGAACGCTTAAGAGTGTAGAAGCAAAATAAACAGGATGTTAGGGAATGTACTGCTAACCGGAAAAGTATTTTTTTTTCATTTCAAATTTTTTTTTTACCGAATAAATAAAATAGAATAGTAATAATTTATTCCAAAAAAGGAACAACACAGCACATCTACATTTAACAATTACGATACATAATAATAACATGAACAAAAAACGAAAAAGAAAAAAAGCATAACAAATAAATAGCGTAATAACTAAGTGATACTATAGCTCAGGAGTCAGAGACTTCATTATTATGTTGTAAACTATTTTATGAAATAAACATTATTATTATTATTATTATTATTATTATTGTATTTATTTTAAACTCTCGCCTCTCCCAAGGCCTAAAAAATTAATTTTGAATTTTTAAATGGGAGAGGCGGTATTTCCCGGCAATGGCACAGTCGGCCGGGGTCAGGGACTCAGGTCCAAGAATCGGCGAACAATACGTGCCGTATCGAGCAGGACCGCCTTCTGCATTTGTGCTGGAAGCGACACGCCACAGAAATCCAACCGCTTCAAGCTGTTAGAAAGGCTGACTGGAATTAACCCATTTGCGGACAAAACAATTGGGATTATTTCAGTGGAGGCCACATCCCACATGTCGGTGATCTCGTGCGCCAGGTCGAGATACTTCCGGCGTTTCTCGGTTTCAGCTTTCACGAGACCCTCGTCATGCGGGATGGTGACGTCCACAAGAAACACCCTCGACTGCGATCGATCCAATATCACAATATCAGGCTTATTCGCAAGAATAGTCCTGTCCGTGATAATAGATCGATCCCAATAGATTTTGGTGCGGTCATCTTCGAGTATTGGCTCCGGTGAATACTTGTAATATGGCAACCTCTGTTGCACTAGTCCGTACTTGAGAGCGAGCTCTTGGTGTAATATTTTGGCTGCCTGGTTGTGTCTGTGCAAGTACTCAGTGTTAGCAAGAGCGGAACAACCGGAAACAATATGCCTAAGTGACTCTCCGGGACGGCCACATGCCCGACAAATGTCTACTGTGCCGTCCTTTAGGATATATTTCCGATAGTTCCGCGTCTTAATAACCTGATCCTGTATTGCACAGACAAAACCTTCGGTTTCCCCAAAGAGGTCCCCGAAACGCAGCCAATGTAGGGAGGCTTTACGGTCCATAAAAGGCTCGTGGAGTACCTTGAAGAACCTCCCATGGAGCTCCTTCTCTTTCCATACGGACTCGCGGTCAGAAGTGCTAAGCACCACCGGGTCTCGCCATTCCTCTTTGGCCAACGATAAGGGAGTTAGCCCTTTATCACATGTGACAACCTCTCCACGAATTACGTCATCCGTCATCGTCAAAAAGTAGTTTCTGAGACTGCATATCTCGCGGTTGTGCATGGTTTTGACACTTAATAGGCCTCTACCTCCACACTTCCGCGGGACATACAATCTCATAACTGACGATCTCGGATGATGCATTCGGTGAGAGGTCATCGTCGTGCGGACTCGTCTATCCAGAGCGTCTAATTCCGTCTGAGTCCATTTGAGCACGCCAAATGTGTACATCAGAACAGGCATGACCCAGGAGTTATAAGCTCGGATCTTATTAACGCCTGACAAATAGCTGTTTAGCACATTTTTCAGGCGCCCATAAAAAACCTCGCACACACCCTGTTTCACGTCTGCTTCCTTCACTCCGATGGTCTGTGACATGCCCAAATACCGGTATGTTTCAGTCTCGGAGAGTACCCGCAGGTGATTGGTGCCAATATTAATGCCATCAGAATGCATGACACGTCCCCTCTCAACATGGACCACCGCGCACTTATCGATCCCAAGCTCCATCCTAACCGAACTGCTGAAATCGTTGGTGATTGTCAGCAGCTCCGTCAATCTGTCAGCTGTGGGGCCGTATAGCTTGAGATCATCCATGTAGAGAAGGTGAGGCATTCGCGGCCCACCTCTCCGAAACTGAAAGCCTGTGCCCGACCTCTCCAATAGAGTACTCAGAGGGTTCAGGGCCAGGCAAAACCACAGTGGACTCAGACAATCGCCCTGGAAAATACCTCGCCTTATTTCTATTCGGTCATCCGCATCCGTCATTCGCCGACCGTCCAGACTCAGGATCGTTCTCCAACATCCCATGCATTGCCCGAGGAAGTGTCGAACTGCACTGTCAATTTTATACAGTTCGAGGACCCTCGAGAGCCATGAGTGGGGCACCGAGTCGAACGCTTTCCTATAGTCTATCCAGGCAGCGGAGAAATTCCGACGGTTGCGTCTGACAAGTTGGCCAGCGACCGCGTCGATGAGGAGCAGCTCCTTACTACCGCGGCTACCGCCCCTACATCCGTTCTGAACCTCAGACATCACACTGTTATCAACAATGTGCTGACTTATCTTGGAGCTCAAAACAGATGTTAAAGTCTTGTATATTGTACAAAGACAAGTTATGGGGCGATACTGTGATGGATCCACGGTAGCATCGCTCTTTGGAGCTAAATGAGTGACCCCAGTAGTTAAGAAGTTTGGGAGCGTCCCACTCTCAAGGGCACTTTGGAACTGACGAGCGAGAGTAGCGTGGCAGCACCAGAACCCCTTCAGCCAATAATGATGCAGTCCGTCCGGTCCCGGACTTTTCCAGTTCGGAGCCTTACGGACCGCTACCGCTACATCCTCTTCGGATATGCTGATGGGATTCATAGGCGCTATGGTTGCACATGCTCCCTCGACCGCTTCGAACCATGGACCCTCTTCGTGATCGACGGGCTGCGACCAAAGCCTTCGCCAAAAGGCGACCACTTCTGCTTTGTCCGGACGCTCACCCGTCAAGACCACATCAGGACGCTCCAGTGTCCTATAAAACTTCTTTTGGTCACTCATGAAGAGACGATTCTGCCGATACCTCTTCACCCTTTCGGAATATCGCCGAATCCGCTTGCCCCAAGCAGCTATCTTCTGCTTCAGATCATCGATGCGCCCTGTCAGTTTTCGTGCAAACTCCGGTGAGTCTACAAAAATGTTCTCACCGGGGAATGCTTCTCGGACAAAGCGCATCACTCTCGGCCTTGTGACGCCTGATCTGAAGCTAGTCAGTTTGCCGATGAGGACCCTGGCCCATGCTATACGACCCTCAATTCGCCTCATCCAGGCTGGCTTAGTACTAGTCCTAGGAGTAGTGCTGCCAACCTGGTGGTTACCGCCGGGTCTTGTTGGCGGCATCCTGACGCCGACAAATTGACACACAGTCATTGCGGCAGCGAAGAGAATTGAGTCTGTCTCCCAAAGGCCTACGCTTTCCTCTAAAAATGAGGGAAGCATGTTGTTAATGGCCCCAACGGCATCCCGAACCTTGATACTGAGAGGCACTCGAGGCAGCCGTGGCCTTCGCTCAAGAGGCACGTGGCGATATTCCAGAATCGTCTCCTCCAGACTACTCCTCAACGCTTCCAAATCCAGGGCGGCTGTTCCCCAATCACTTTCAGTACCACCCGTATCCGGCTGCTGAGCACTAGGTTCCCTGTGAACTTCCCTGCTGAGAACAGGAGAGCGCTCCAGCCTGGGTGGCTCTTCTTCCAGTGGAGGAACAGCCTCGCATCGTAATTGCTCGAGTTCGGCAGCGCTAAAAAGTCCTGAGCGCTGTAGGTACCGAACTCGGTCCGCCAGGTTTTGTTCTGTGACGGTCAAAGTTGGCTCCAGCCGAAGAAATTCGCGGTACATTACTGCTCGATAACCTGTCCGTCCGGTTCCCGAACCTGAGGCCCTAAAATAGGCCCGCATGGCATTTTTATTCATATCAATCGTCCATGCCATGCGGCGCCGTACTCCACCAGAGGCGGGTACCGATTGCTGGGACCGAGTTGCCCCAGCCCCTGCCGATACCATGCCAACTGGTGGTGATGGATCGTGAGTAGACTGGCCGGATGGTCGGGCCAGTCTGCCGCGGCTGGGGGCCCGCATACTGCCACGCCCAGCCCCAGCTCCAGGCGCGCCCCGGCGATTACCCCCGGGAAGCGGCCCTATTCGCTCATCGTAACTGTTGTGCTCCATCATTTACGATGAGCAATTTTACACCCGGGGCTTTCACTCACTTACCCCGGGGAGACCGTTATTTACCCTATTTAACGCTGAGACCAGTTCCTTGACACGGTTCTGTACATCAATGAACTCAAGCGCTGACTGTTTGCACTACTGAAACGGTAAAGTGACATGATATTCACTGTGCCGTTCCACCAGTGGGCGATGAGGTCGTCACATCCCTACGCCATTTTCACTTATTATTATTATTATTATTATTATTATTATGTAACATTAAAAAAAACCGACTTCAAAAGTTCATGGAATTATATTTATTGGCCAAGTTTTATTGAAATCGGTTACCGGAAAGTGCGCGAAACCGGATTCATCCCCTGGATTCAAACCCTGGTTTGCCACCCTTAGAGGAGCAATATTTTCAAATTTAAATGGGACCAATACTGAGGAACCCTCTTTGTAACAAAAAACGAATCATTAGAAAGTGCAATCTGATAAACAATATTTAAGTCTAAATTATAACGTTTTTTAGAAAGAGGGACTTTTCAGTCAACAACCTATGTATATAACAATTAAAAGCAGCCATTTTATGTTTCCAGGGGTGACAAGAAGAAGCCGGGATAATTGTATCTGTATGCGTAGGCTTACGTTAAATTTTAAAATCATATTTGTTATCTACTTTGGTTATAGTTAAATCTATGAAATCGAGAGAGTTGTTTTGTTCTAATTCTTTCTTAAATTTAATTTTTGGATGTTTGTTGTTAAGGTCGTCTACAAAATTGTCCAGCTGTCTCATACTACCTGTCCAACAGAGTATCAAATCATCAACATACCTAAATTAATATAGTATATATCTATTACCTGCAATATATTGAGTTTCAAAAGGATCCACAAATATGTCTGCCATTTAAATTTATGTTTTAAATTTATGTTCACACAATTAGTAAAATAGCGAAATGTGAGCAACACACCGATGTAAATTAATTTTTAGAGAGAACATTTGACATTGAATATTTGACAACCAACTAAATGAAATGTTGTGCCGGAACTGCACATCATTGAAACGCAGTGTGTGTATGGAACGCCGCATCTAGTACGCTAGTACATAGATATAGTTGTGCGTGACTGTTTATATCTGTGTATACAATGAAGACCCCTCATACCTACTTATCGTGCGTATCTCCATAAGTAGCATCATAAATCACGAGTTATCAATTTTACCGTTTATTTTCGAAAAATAGTTCGCGCACATAATACATAACACATTCCCTGTTTGCCGTTTTTTTGCGCGTTTTCTGTTTATGGATAATTTTGCGAAGTTGGGGCAGTCTCAGTCTGAACTTATGGTCTAGTCTTAGCGAAACAAAAGAATAGGTTCGGTCCATATAAATTTATTTCTAAATAGAAATGAAAAGGCTGTGACAACAAAATAATAAAATGATGTACAAAAGTAAAATCAGTATAAAACACTCTTTACTAAAGTACCGGCACGCTGTGATGGCCGTTTTGATGTTTGTGTTGTCCCTCATCAAGTTTCGTTTTAATTCATAACTACGTTGAAGGAGGTAATTGCTATAATTGTTGTTAATAGTGACGTGTAGTAAAATTCATGAAATGTATCGAATTTTACGAGACAACTCGATATATGTATTTTGAAATTCGAAATTAAAAAAAATAAAATCATACGGTTGTCACTTATAGGATTGCTGGCCAGCACAACTTCTACCTCCGGCAAACTCGCGTCAAAGCTCAATGCAAAACAAAGCAGTTTCGAATTGACGTTGCTTCGGTTCAATGAAATATAAACGTTATTATTTTCCATTTATTAGAACTTTTTAATCAGCTACATCTTGCAAAACTAGTTATAAATTTAAAAACTTATAGATGTGTTTATATATTTTTTGGGAATAAATTGAGATTTCGATGATACTTATTCCAAAAGGGCTTATGTATATGTATGTAGTATATGATTTAAAAACAGTAAATCATGTGATGTTTGAGTTTTATATGTGGGTAATCTATGAGCACGTTGTCTTGTTTTGAGAATTTTGATGGGAGTGTAATAGTGTAAGGAAGAGGGACGAATATATAATAAGGATACAAAATTTTAAAATTAAGTGGCCAGGAACTTGTAACGATGTGGGTGATAAAAGATCGAATGACGGTGAAGAACGTCAGCATCATCACAAACTATAGCTGTTTTGAGCCATAATAGGCTTGAATCTAGGCTTACGTATTACCGCGTTCGTAGGAGTATCAAATTCCCTGGTGTATGAATACTAGGGTTAAGAAACTTACGGGCTATAATACCTAGAATACCAGGCAGTTAACAACGTCGGGCGATAGACAAAATGTGTGGCATTGGTATTCCGTTTTTCCGATTTCTTGTTGCCATTTAAACGGGATGCCTATCTTGTATCAACAACATCGATACTGTGTTTCATTCAATCTCAAAGCTTTCATTTATGTTTCCTAAGTCAGTTTATGTTTCCTACTGCGTTTTTAAAGCAATAGAAATATAATACTGTAGTGGGATCTTGTTCATTTACTTATAGCACTGTAGAAGTTACAGATTTAGTAACAGTAAGAGCTATTTGTGAAAGAGTTCTTCCAGGGATGTATCGCCACCACACCTGTTTCTGCTGCCAAACAGTAATGTCAGTAATAATGCGTTCCGGCTTTGAAGGGTGAGGTGTTGGTGAAGCGATACAGGCGCATGGGACTTGTCAACTTAATGTCTCAGGGTCGTCACCCTGATCGGGTGGCTGTATGGGTGGGTAGGCCTGTCGTTTACCACAAGGCGCGCACCTTGTCCGTCACCTCCGCTTATATCACTAAAAATGATCAGTTCGCTTTCTAAAATCGTAGGCGAAAGTTCTTTTGTAACCTCGTCTTTCAGCTTGCACAATTTGCCTCCGCGGGGAACAGCTCAATTCTAAGGAGATACAACAACATTCCTTGAATACAGGCTAGGGAGATCATGTCGTTGAGGAGATTTGTGATCCATCTCTAATATGCAAGTTTCTTTACGATGTTTTCCTTCGCTGCCAAAAAAAGTAGTACCTATGCAGTCGACTAAAATGATTGAAGACTCAGTGGCGTCCCCTCTGAGAATCGAACTCAGACCCATATACATAAGAGGTAAGCTTCCTTTTAACTAAATAGCCTTTTATCGTTACATAAAATGACAATTATAAAGAGGAGTGGAGAGAAAAAGACAATAAAAGTTAAAACATAATATAATAGGATCAGTATGGTAACTCCATACAAATGTTTTTGAGTGCGGCTTGTATGTGTTCACGCCCGCTGCGCGCTGTGTACGGACGCACACATTCGCATAATAATGAGAGACTCGTTCTCCCAAATAAGCCTAAAGGTTTGACATACCGCCTCTCAAGCTGAGGCCGTGGTTTCGAACTCAGGCTCGCACCCCTGAATTTCTCGGAATTTATGTGCGAAATTTAATTTCTTGATTAATATGATAACGCGTAGGTTCAGTCTATGTACGGCACAGATAAAAGTGACTTTACCATAAACTACAGGTGTACATCGCTGTACACACAAAAGTCACTAAATGCAATGCGTGTAGTACAGTACAACGACGCGTTCAGGGTTCTGTTGCGGATGCCGCGACACTGTAGTGCGTCCGGGATGTTCGCGGATGCGAGCGTTGACGGCTTCGACGCTACGTTGCGCAAGCGCTGCGAAGCGACAATACGTGGGGTGCCCGTTAGCTGCCACAAACTCTTGACAGTTGTTGCGCACAGATGGGACAGTGGACTGCTAAGGCACTGGTCCTCTCTTTATTTAAGTTTACGTACTAATATAGTCATTTAAGTTTTTGCTAAAATACTAACATTTTTATGGATTTTGTTGAAGTCCGAAATAAATGCAATTTATTTTATTTTTTTATTAAACCTGCACGTCGAAGAAGGTTCACAACTTCCGGAAAACCAGATCGGCGTTCACAACCAGCGCGGTGGACTATAGTGTCGCGCCTGAGAGGAGACCCGAGCCCTGCAGTGGACTTATAAATGGGTTGAAGATGATTCTCCCATTACAACCACTTGAATGTTTTAATTTCTCAAATTTTTATGTTGACGTTTATTGTTTTTACAATATTTATCTAAATATTTCTATCTACCGATTACTTTAGGTAAAGTACAAGTTTTTTTTAATATTATGTAAGCAGCAAACAAGTATACGGCTCACCTGATGGAAAGCGGTCACCGTCGCCTATGAACGCCGGTAACACCACCGGCGTCACGAGCGCGTTGCAAACCCTTTAGGACCCTTCTCAAACCCCTTTTGAAGGACTCCACGCTATACTCCTGCGGGAAAACCGCGATAGGGAGTTTTCTTAATTTTGAAGCAAGGGAATAAATATTAAAATTGTAATTCCAATTGTTCCTACATAATCATCAAAATGTTATTTCATTGACAATAGCAACATTTTTCACATAATTTATTTTACGATATCATATTTACACGACACTTTTTTTATACAATGTCGTTTTACTATTTACATCCATTTAATAAAACAACTCATTTCGAAAAACACATATTACACCTTCTCAAGGATAGGGTCACTTACAATCGGATACCTAATGTTAGGGCGCGTTCCCATTATGTCGTAACGTTTTATTGGTCGTTAGACAACTGTTGCTTCTAACCTGTTCCCATATCACGACTATGTCGTGACTGTGTCGACGGACGGTGTGTAGCTGTTCCCATTAGATTGTGACGACAATTTATCTATTCACGGCAACCGCCTGGTCGTTTGCACAACAGCATCGTTTGAAACTGCGATTATCTGTCGTCACATTTTTATCGTGACGTTTTATTTATCGTCAGACGACAGTCGGTATAGCTCCTCCCATTGTCACGACAGTCTGTCGTCGTAACACCAAAAAATCGTGAACGACAGTTAATCGTGTTGTTCTATGAGTGAACAACTTCATTTAAATATACAAGGCAAGAAACTTTAAACTGCACGACCATCTGTCGTCACGATATAA